TCTGGTCTGGACACTCCTGCCACAGCAATGATGACTGTATAGTGAGGGTAGTGAGTTCTGGCCCAGCTTCAAACGGGGCTTCCTCCATTGACACCTTCCTGTACAATGGGAATATGGCAGTGACCTTATAGGGATATTAAGCCACTGCCTACAGTCACAAAATCTTCCAGCATGGGGCTTGTGTTGGGGTCACAAGTGGTTTTTTTTTTAAACAAGTCGTACTGTGTACCCCAGTCTGGCCTCAAACTCACTCTGTAGCTCAGGCTGACCTCAAACTTGAGATCTTCCTGCCTCCATGTCTCCCAAATATGGGTGTGTGCCACCACACCTGTCCCACGGTGCTTTTCATTTCATGAGAAACAACTCACTGAAGGCTCAGGCTAGGGAAAAAGCATGGCAGGAGGCTCCACTCCATGTACTTGAAGGCCAGAGGAATCTGTGTGTGGGCTCCTTACACTGGGACAGGGGTCAGCCTGTAGACAGAACAAGCTTCTCACCTGGGAGAAATTAAGAAAATGTCTCTCAGGTTCAGACTCAGTTTCCCCCCAGTTGCTTTTGTGTGGGCGGATGAGGGTGCAGCTTGGCCTGAATCCTCCTGGGGCCTTCAGCTCTAGCCTCGTGGGCCCAGCCTTGCTGGCTGCCCTTCTAGGTTTGGAGTCTCCTAGTCCCCTCCCAGAGGCCAGCCACTGCTGCTATGCCCCTCATATCCCTCTCCCTGAGGGGCCAATGAAGGAGCTGCAAAGAAGGTTCCCGCTTTGCTAAGGTCTGAGACTGGCCCTGCCACATGAGAACCATGTATCTCCGGGTTTGATTTCTAGCACCTGGAGCAGTCACATGACTGCCTGGAGCACTCAGTTCCTGGCCTTTGACTAACACCCCCAGGTAGCCCCTGGCCTCTGCCTTACTTTGGGTCCACTTGCCTCACAACTTCCTGTAGTTTTTTGTTTTTTTTTTTTGTTGTTGTTATAAGGGCCCAAGGCCTACACCTTGAGCCACTCCACTACCTCTTTTTTTGCGAAGGTTTTTTTGAGACAGGGTCAAGCAAACTATTTGCCCAGGCTGGCCTCGAACCTTGATCCTCCTGACCTCTGCCTCCTGAGTAGCTAGGAGTACAGGTGTGAGCTACCGGCACCCAGCTTCTGTGTATTCTTTAAAGCAAAAACCAACCCCTGTCACTTCATGGGTAAAAGCTGCCAATGGCACCAAATGCAATAAAATAACCCCCCAGCTCTGCACCACATGATCTGTTTGGCTGCGTATGACAGAGAAGCCAGGAACAGTGTGTCAGGCAAGGGGGCTATCACTGGCCTTCTGCAAGCCACCAAGCCAGTCTCCTTGTTTCGTGGGAAGAGAGCAGGGTCAGGGGGGTCAGAGGTGAAGGGATGTGCCCGGAACATTTCTCTGTTTTACAAGGCTTTCTCAGAAACCCCCCACTTAAGTTCATCTCAGCAGCTGCCTCTAGACCTCAGGGACACGTGGCCAACTCTAGCCGCGCGGAGTCGAGAAGGTTGAGTTGCTTGTTTGCATTTTTCTCTTTGAGAGACAAGGTCTTGCTGGGTAGCCCAGGCTGGCCTTGAACTCATGATCCTCCAGCCTCAGTCTCCTGAATGCTAGAATTAGAGGCATTGTGGCCACTTTGCCCAGCTTTAGATTGGATTCTTTAGAAAAGAAGGGCAGGATGGATGTGAAGTTGTCTAAGGAAGTTCTGTCAAGGCACTGCTGGGTGGCCCTCTCTACCTTTACTGGCCTCGCTGTTCTCCTGTTCCCTGCGGCAGCCACACTGCCCTTCTCCTGCCCTGGACTACATCCACTTCGCGTCAGCTATAGCCTCACTGGCCCCCAGGCTCAGCCAGCTGCAGCTTTTCCTCTAAGATTAGCTCAGACACTTCTTAGTGACTCTCAGATCCAACTAGACAAGGAAATTCAGGAGCCCAGTGGAATGAAACTGTTAAGATCATGGCCAATTCACACACCCTGGTAAGGACTGACTCCTGGTTGAATTTTTAAGAGGTACCGAAGTCTTAACCCCAGACACCTGTGACTGACCTTATTTGGAAACAAGGTCTTTGACGATGTTTTTATGAGATCAGGATGAGTAGGGTGAGCCTTTAACTCAATTCGTGACTGTTATCCTCAGAAAAAAAGACAAAGACCCAATCCCAGCCCAGAAGCCCTGTGTGGCAAAGGCAGCAACTGGAGTTAGATATCTGTAAGCCAAGGCACAGGGGGTGTGTCAGCCACCACTCAAAGTGGGGAGAGCGAAGAAGTTTGTCCCTCAGACCTTTATGTGGAAACAACCCGGACACCTGGTCTCTAGAACTGTAGGGAAGAGCCTGTTTTTCTTAGCCACACAGTTTGTGGATTTGTTACCACAGCCCTAGGGACCTAAACCCACTCCCCAAGATGTCAGTTAAGTGATAAAAGCAGAGAACAGGGTTGGTGGATTGGCTCAAGTGGTAGAGCGCCTGCCTAGCAAGTGTGAGTAAAAACCCAATACCTAAAAAAAAAAAAAAAAAGTACCACACACACCACACACAAAAAAATGCAGGAACAGCACAGCGAGAACCTCGGCCATGCTTGGTGGGGCACAGCTGTTCTCATATGCTGGGACAGACATGTCCAGATGAGCTGAGATGGCCCAGGAACTAGAGGTGAACTTGCCCCAGAGCCTGTCTCAGGGAGGTTTCCTCCTCACTGCTCAGCCTCAGTTGTGTGCAGTTTGTTCTTTAAAAGCCTTCATACAGACTAGGAGTGTGGCTCAAGTGGTATAGCACTGAGTTCAAACCCAAGAACCGCAAAAGAAAACCCAGGAAAACAAAAACAAACAAACAAAAACCCAACTTCATAGTACTTATTCCTATAAGTTTAAATCAGGGACAAAATAAAATGTAAAATAAATTAAAACACCACTGCTCCCTTCACCCTGGGTTTTGGGTGACGTTTAGTGGTCACCTGTTGGGGTGGAAAGTGAGGGACCCTGCTTTGTAGCACTTTTGCCGATTTCTCCATGTTTTGCTCCTGTCATGGCCAATTTTGAGCTACCATATGAATTCATGGAACTGGGTTGCAGCAGAGTGCACCCCAAAGTCACTTTGTCACATCCTTCCCCACTCAGAGGGTTGTTTTGTCCCACAGGGACATGAGCCTAAGCACTTGAAGCAGCCCTGGAATCAGCACCTCATGAAAATAGTCCTGCTCAGATCAGGTTATAGGAAGGGTCATGCTGGAACCTTTCCAGAGAGCCCTGGTGTGGAGAGATCAAGAGTGACGGGGACCTTGAGGACACTGTGGCCACAAGCCCTACTCAGGATGCCCCTTCAAATGTAAGCCACTTAGACTCACAGAAAGGAAGCTCTGTCCAAGGCCACTCGGCTGGAGAGAGCCAGGGAAGGGCCTTCTGCAACTTGCCAGCCAGGGATCCTCCCTCGGTTTCTTTTACAAGAAAGAGGCCAGGGGGACCCCAAGAGTCAGCAGCCACCCCTTTCTGGCCTCCTGCCCAAAAAACTGGGCCTCTAGGGCTGACCTCACAGGCTGGCACTGAGGACTAAAGGGGTGCTTTCAGTGCCGGCTGAGGTGGAGCAGAGCTGGGCAGGGAGGCAGGGAGACTGCCTTTTGGCAAACCAGCAGGCCTCTTCCTGGAAGCTGACTCTCCTTGGCTGAGTAGAGCCTGGTCATGCCACTAGCAGTCGGGAGATGAACAGCTCCACTCATACGCCTCCCTCCTTGGGGCCCCTGACATTCTCCACCCCATATCCCCGCTATGTCCACCACAAGCCTCCCCACTGCTGGGAATGATGGCATCCAAGAGATACCTACTAAAATGCTTGCCTCTAGCACATGAAGGTTTAGTTCAAATCCCAGTGCCACAAAAAAAAAAAAAAAGAGATACCTACTAAAGGGATGGGATTCGCTCGCGTGCTTGTGGCTTTATGTCACACAGTGCTCCAGTCCCACCCTGGAGATGAGGAAGACAGTCGCTCAGGTTACCTTGACCTCCCCAGGGCACGACACAGAGCCACGAGTCCTCACAGGAAGGCCAAATGAAGTCCTGGCACAATGCGCAGAGGAGCCAACTCACCCACTCGCAGAAACAATGAAGACTTTATTCCAGAAATGACCCTGGGGTGCAAGAGCTGGAGTCTTATCTTTCTGTAGGCACAAGCTGCCTCCTGAGAGTGCTTGTCACATTCCTCAGTTTGGAGGGGCCCAATCTGTGTCCTCACAGGAACATTAGGCCACTAGGGAGAACCAGAATACCTGGAGAGACATATTGCTGGGGATCAGAGAAGTAGACCTTTGCTTGGTGATCCAAGCTCTTCAGCTGTGGATACCACACTGCTCTCTCCTGAGCCGTTGGCTGGTGGGAGTGACAGACATCAGCTAACCCTTTTACAGAAACAGTAGCCTGAGGCCCAGGTGAAAGGACTTCTCCTTGTCACAGCCATATCACACTTACTTCACGTGTGGTGTCCTCATCCTACTACCTGTCTGCTCCCTCACCCAGGGGCCTGGGTTGCTCTGCAGTGGAGTGAACAGCTGCGGTGCAACACCGTAGAGGACTTTATTCTGTTCCACCAGGAGTGCTCAAGAGACCCTTTGTCACTCAAAAAAGACAAGAGAGGTGGCCAAGGTCTCCCTGGAGCTCTGGCAAGCAGAAGATCTGGGGAGCTGGCCAGTCCCTGGGAGCCTGTTGGTGGCTCATCAGAGACCCCTTGGAGGCAGAGAGTGGGAGGCTAAACTGGAGTGTCTGGCTGTTTGGAGGAGATCCTGAGTGACAGTTCCAGGCACAGAGCACTGGTAAGCCAGTGCTGGGCTGCAGGGGTATTTGCCCCTGACGTTTATGACTCCTGACTGTATGCGAGTCCCCATTTCACAGTTGATTAACAACAAGTTCCCAGCCGAGGGCACCTCTGGTGAGCAGGAAGATCTGCTAAGGGCCGCTTTACCTCTTTGTCTGTTTTCAGCAAAGCCACCCTGGGGAGGGAGGGTGAAGACAACCATCACAGACTAGATGGCTGGGCCAGGGCTGGCCGCGGGGCAGTGGACGTAGCCTCACCCTCTGATCGGTTGTCTTCGCCCCGTCGTGTAGGTGAGCACCACTGGTCACGGTGGCGCGAAGGTGGCAGCATTGACCGGGAAGGCACGCAGCAGGGTGGAGGCCAGTCCACGCCGTAAACACACGCCAGCCCTCTGCCTGGTAGCTCTGGTGTGCGCAGTCAAGGATGCCTCGGTAGCGCGGGGCACCCTGTAGCCCGTCAGCCTGTAGCCGTGACTTGACCACATCTACTGGGTAGGTGGACCAGCCAGGACATGATGCCTGACGTGCCCTCCTGCCGAGCAGCAGTTTGGGCACCAGCAGCCGGTCCCCTGGTTCGCAGCCCAGGGCGCGTGTCAACACGTCATAGGTGAGGAAGTAGACCCCGAAGCTGGGTGTCTCCCGCAGCAGCGTGGACACCATGCACGGTTGCTCCCGCGCAGACCCTCCTGCTGGTAGATCTGAGCCAGGCAGTCCAGGGAGCCCTTGTAGGTGCGCACGGAGCCCTGTGTCTGCAGCTGCAGCCCGCGTCTTGGCCAACTCCCATGGGGCAGCAGATGACACACTGGATGCACCTGCTGCACAGCGCCTGCCAGAAACTGGTTGAGCGGGGAGTCCGGCCAGCCCAGGCTCTGAGGGTGTTGCCCTGTACCCAAACACCAGTGCGTTGATGAAGGTGAGCCCCATGAGGGTGAGCCCAGGCCTTTGTACAGGCCAGCACCTGTGGGGACAGATATGCCATCAGGGTTGGCAGGGCACTGGCTGCCTAGCTCATCTCCCAGCCCTCTTTGCAGCAGGGGCAGCCAGCCCACCCCAGCTGCTCAATGAGGACCAAGCAGATTCTCATCACGAACAGTCCTAATTCTGAGAAAGGCCCAGGCAGTCCACCACTCCACACTTCCCAAGCCCTGATTCCCTTCAGTCACCCAGGATCTTTTCTGGCACCCTGGCCTGCAAGTGGTGGCATCCCAGAGGCCCAAGCGCACTCACACTCTCCTGCTTGATGATGGACTGGAAGCAGTCGGCAGCGTCCCACGGTACTGGGGCTTCTCCACGCTCTGCACCTGCAGCCGCACCTGCAAGGACCGGCCCAGTGAGAGGCAATGGGTTGGCCACAGCACCCAGTTCCCCCTGGCCCTGGTGCACACGAGGCAGGGAGTCGAGTAGTTTTGGGGATTCTATGGAGGGGCCTGGTTTGGGTGTTTTGTGGGCAAATAGCTACAAGCATGGCTCAGCCGAGCTGGACTAGAGAGGTCCCCAAGATCCCAGACAATTGAGTGGACCTCCATCTTCACACACAGCACAGTGCATTACCAGTAGGGAATAACTAATCTCCTGGGGCCAACCTGTTGTTGGTTTGGACATCTGTCATCCCACTGAATCGCTAATGTCCCAACCATGGCTGAGGCCAAAACAGCCTTGCCACTTCTGTCCTATCACGGACTTTCCTCATCGGGCAGGCAGCTGGGGCAACAGGTGTCAGCAGCACAATGGGTCACAGCTCCACTCCGGCCTGATTCCTGCCAGAAGTTCCTTGTGAGAGCTGTGACTGTGAGTCAACAACAGAGACAGAATGACTGACAGTCTCCCTGACCCACAGCAGCCAACTCTGGGCCAGAGAACACGGATCAGGCCCTCTCGGTGTTCAAAGGCTCTTCTGTTGATGAGAGCCTATCTCTGCTGTTGAAACACAGGCTCTGCAGTTGCACAGTGGGAGGGATACTCTCTGAACTTGACTCCGCAGCCACTGGGATGGTGGAAACTAGGTCAAATCACATCCTCAGGAGCTGATTCCCTTGGCTCAGACTCCAAAATGATTGTTTACTGCAGCCAGGGCACAGGGTGAGCACTCTCTGTGCCTGCAGCCACGGAGAGCTGGGGCCTTGCCCTCATTCTCCCTGGGCATTGGAGCCCCAGTGAGTGGATCAGTTCCAACATGGGAAGACCAAAGCTCAGAGGTGCTCTGTAAACATGGCCAACGCTGTCAACGCTGTCTTCTCCAGAGGCAGGGTGGCTGTTGGTGGAGCGTGAGGGCAGGTGGGTGCTGCTGGGGAATGCTCTCGATGGGGAACAGCCAAGCAGTCCCTGGACCTTGTCCAATTCTCTCCACCAGAGCGGTGGACTCCCACTGGGAATGTAGTCACACAAAAGTGTTATTAGGAAAAAAATGTTCCATCTCTGCCCAAGGGACCGCCACAGAGTAACCACTGCTGAGGAGCTGCTGGCCACAGGTGTGCCTGGAGCAGCTCCCCTCAGCACTTAACTTGGCCATCCAGCTCTGCCAGTACTTGACAGGAGAGAAGGGGATTTTCACAGAGGAGAAAAGCAAAAACCCCTCATTGGGCCTTAATCAGATACTAACACCATGACCCAGCTTGGGCCAAGTCTCTGTGACATGAGGTTTCTCTCTCCCTTCAAAGTCCTGGGGCC